GGCCTGACCAAGCCTTTGGTAAGTACAAATTTCCTTGCTTCTTACTCTAAGCACTCAGGTTCATTGTTTACTATTATTAAACAAATAAGTTGACAAATATTACAATAATAATGTTTGTGTATATAATAACTCACATTGCTTACTATTATGAAACAAATACGTTCCCAGATATTACAATAATAATCTTTGTGTGCACATAAGAACTCTGATTCATTGTTTACTATTATGAAACTAATTGGTTCCCAGATATTACAATAATAATCTTTGTGTGCACATAAGAACTCTGGTTCATTGTTTACTGTTACGAAACTAATTGGTTGCCAGATATTACAATAATTATGTTTGTGTGCAGATAATAACTCAGGTTCATTACGTAATATTATGAAACAAATACGTTGCCAGATATTACAATAATAATATTTGTGTGCCACATACGACCTCTGGTTCATTGTTTACTATTATCAAACTAATAAGTTGGCAGATATTACAGCAATGTTTGTGTGCAGATAACTCAAGTTCATTGTTTACTATTATGACACTAATAAGTTGGCAAATATTTCTATAATAATGTTTGCGTGCAGATAACAACTCAGATTTATTGTTTACTATTATCAAACTAATAAGTTTCCAAATATTACAATAATAATGTTTGTGTGCACAAAACTCATTCTTACTTATTAGGCTGCTAAATATTTCCTTTTTTTGCTGTGTTTTTATGACGCTGCGACCGTCTACTGGCAGTCTGTGATGTGGCCTGCTGCCTGCTGATTAATTAACGTCAGTGCACTGCCACTATTATCTACACTGCTAATTTTGCTTTTGCCCATTAAAAGTGTATGCCAGTCTATAATCTGTTGCCTGCTTCTTTACCTCACTCAGTGTACTGCCAGCCTTTCATGTCGACTGTATTCTGCTTTTTCAGCTGCTGCCCGTATTGCCAGCTTTTCATGTCGACTGTAGAAATGCTTATGTCATTGAGTCGGCGTACTGGCAGTCTATAATCTAGACTGTAGCCTGCTTCTCAACTTACCTGTGCGTACTGCTGCTCTTTAATTTACTTATTTAACCTTATTTCTTTAATGAATTTCTATTGCTTCGATTATTCTTACATACCAAGAAAACACCATCGCACGATTTCCTGACACTAACAGAGCATACCATGCCCTACAATAACACATTTTCCTGTCGCAAGCCCAAGATGGGTACCACGTCAAGATTCCTCCAATTACAAAGCTGCAGGACAAAGACATCCTCACAAAACTGTCTCCTCTAAAAAAACGGAAATTCCTTCGTGATCATGGACAGAGGAGGAAACCACATATTATTGTGCGCCAACCTCTTTCACCAGTATGTTATCGATGATGCCAACATTGAGAGTGAGCGCGTTCTTTACATTCAACTGAATCACAACCACCGGCGTGTGAACAGTATGCTCATCTCTGGGATGCCATCAATGCCGAAGGAGATGCAAATGGTCACAATGTGGGCTCATTAGTTATTTTGCCTTCATCCTTCACAGCTCCACCAAGATTCATGAATGAGAAGACTCAGGATGCCATGATGTACATCAGCCAATATGCCACGCTGCATCTCTTCATCACCTTCACTTGCAATCCGAAATGAAAGGAGATCCAGGTTTACTTTTATCCAAACCAAAAGCCACCAGACAGACATGACATCTTAGCGAGTGTCTTAAAGCTCAAAGTTTATGACCTCATGATGCTTATTACGACCAACGAAGGCGACATCTTTGCATAGACAAGCAGAACCTTGCACACAATTGGGTGGCAAAAACGTCGTCTTCCTCATGCTCACATTTCCCTATGGATGACGTAAACAATTCATGCAAGTCATATTGACACATTTATCAGTGCTGAGCTACCTCACCCCCATCAAGACCCTGCCCATTTCCTATGTGGTCTGCAACCAAATGGTCCATGGCCCATGTGGCCAGTTCTATCCAAATGTGCCATGTATGCAAGACCAGAAGTGTTCCCAGAGGTATCCATGCAACTACTTAAAACACACTCAGTCGGCCCATGATGGCTATCGTTTATATCGTCACAGAACTACTGAGCATGATGGATTTCAAATTATGCTCAGTCCTGCCACTAACTCGCTAATTAAGGTTCACAACCGGTGGATTGTTCCCTACTGCCCTCTCCTGTGCAAGATCTTCCAGGCCCACTTTAATGTCAAATTCTGCTATTCTAAAAAAATCTATCAATTATCTTTGACAATACATCAACAAAGGCTCTGACATGCCTGTCTTTGCTTTACCAAACAGAGGGACAAAGTGTGCATGAGCTCAAACTTTTTTACAAGGAACATACATCAGCAACAATGGGGCCATTTGCTGAATTATTATCTTCTTCATCCATGACCGGAACCACAGTTGTCTATTTGCCACTTCACCTCCAAAATGGTCAACTCATCTACGTTCACAAAGGAAATGCCCAACAACAGGCCCTGGCGCCACAAGATACCACCCTGATGGCGTTCTTTGTTTTGTGCACAGTTTACCCATTTGCTACCAACCTGCTCTACCATTACGTTCCCTCCTACTATACATGGGCTGCTAAAAAAAAAAACATTTAAGCGACGTGCTGCTGACGATTTAACCGGATGCCTTAGGACAAGTCTACACAGTTCATCCCAACAATCAGCAGTGATACTTTCTCCCAATGCTTCTCCATGTTGCCAAAGGGCACAAATCTTTCCAAGACCTCTAAACAGTCGAAGGAGTTGTCTGTCAAACATACAGGGAAGCTTTCAATCTTCGTGCGATTCTTCTGCATTATCACCATCTTCATAAAGCTATGACAGAAGCTTCTGTTGGTCAGTCCCCTTTACAACTGACATTGCTCTTCTGCATGAATCTTCAAGTTTGCAGCCCATCTAACCCCATGGGACTCTGGCAAAAATACAAAGAGGGCATGAGTGAGGACATCCTCCACGGAGCTCAATTACAAAATACAAACCTCGACCTCAACTTTTCTGATGTCAATCTAGATTTGAAGTTTTCGTGACTTCTGTCATCTTCAAACAGGCCCTCATCCTCCTTCAGGACAAGCTGCACTCCATTGGTGCTAAACACCTCGCGTCTATGGGACTACCAACGCCCTACAGGACAACCTGCATGCCCTTGCTCAAGAGATCCTACGTTCAATATGCTATTATGCTTTACAGCTTCGTACACTTATTGAGGAAAATTAACCAAAGCTGATGGATGCACAAATTGAAGCCTACACGAAAATTTTGCAACACATTGAGACTACCTTGATGCACTTGCCAGTACTCGAAAGACCTTTGTTTTCAAACTGCTCCTCGCTAAGACTCGCCAGAGAAGGAACATTGCTCCAGCTGTGGCATTATCGGGCATTGCAGTGTCAGTAGATGTGTGTGTGTCAGTCGATGTGTGTGTGCTGAGTCCATATGTGTGTGCATTTAGGTCCATATGTGTCTGCGTATTTTTTGCCCGGGCAACGCCAGATGTGTGTGTGTACGTCGATGTGTGTGTGTTAGTCGATGTGTGTGCATGGCTCCATGTGAGTGTGTGTGTCTCTATGTGTGTCAGTCGATGTGCGTGTGTGTGAGTCCATATGTGTGTGTGTTAGTCCATGTTTGTGTTAGTCCATATGTGTGTGTAAGTCAATGTTTGTGTGTGTGAGTCGATGTGTGTGTGTTTGAGTCAATATGTGTGTGCGTGTAGGTCCATGCGTGTGTTTAAGTCCATGTGTGTGTCTGTCTTTTTCGAACGGACAATGCCCGATGTGTGTGTGCGTCGAAGTGTTTGTGTGTGTCAGTCCAAGTATGCGTGTCAGTCCATTTGTGTGCGTATCAGTCACTCTGTGTGTGTGTTAGTCCATGTGTGTGTGTTAGTTGATGTGTGTGCATGGCTCCATCTGAGTGTGTAAGTGCATTTCCTTGCGTGTCTGTAGGCCCATGTGTGCGTGTGAGTGGAGAGAGTGCAGATCATTAAGGACCTTCATAATGGTGAGCGGGCCCGGGTAAAACTACGTGGCCGGGAGTCAGAGCCATTCCCTGTACACCTTGGGGTGCGACAGGGATGTCCTCTGGCTTCCACATTATTTAACATCTATTTTGACCACGTAGTTCGTGAAGCCTTCAATAGCTGTACCGGGGGAATCTCCATATGGTACAGATATAATGGGAGGCTGATCGATGCCCGGGTGCGGTCAAGGGATGGCTCCCTATTGCTCAACCATGTTATGTATGCTGATGATTTGGTAATAGCTGCTCATTCAGAGGAGGAGTTGGAGACGCTGCTGCTGAGACTGGAGCGTGCCACTAAGAGGTGGGGCCTTACCATCAGCCCCACCAAAACTAAGCACCTGCCTGGGTATTTTGTACCATCGGACACTCCACCCCCACAACTCCCAATCGGTGATGGGGCAGTTGTGGAGCGAGTGGAGAGTTTCCCATACCTGAGCAGTGTGCTTATGACCGGCTCCAGTTTAACAGCAGAGGTCTCACTCCGAATCAGTCGAGTGGCAATATCTTTTCATTGGTTGCGTAATGCTGTGTGGAAGCTACCTGGTCTGTCGCTCCGCACTAAGCTTCAGGTCTTCTCGGCCATGGTCATTCCCTCCCTTCTCTACGCTTGCGAAACTTGGACCCCCTAATGGAAAATTTTCGCCGGTTAGAAACATTTAGGCCGGCCTGCCTACGATCCATCCTGGGTTTAACCAGGCTGGATTGTGTGAGGAGCTCACAAATCCTTGAAAGATCTGGACAAAGTCCCATCGGTGAGCTCCTCAAGGCAGGCAAGGCTGCGTTGGCTGGGCCATGTAGCCCACATGCCCAATCACCGCATGCTCAAACAGCTTTTGTTTGGCCTGATCGAGGGGGCTAAACGGGCATGGCACAGGCTAGAGAAGAGATAAAGTGATGTGGTACAGGAGGATGTGGAGCTGAGTGGACATGCTGATGACTGGTACCAGTGATAGCAAGATCGGCCTCTGTGGAAGAGGCTCGTGAAAGACACTACTGGGCAGTTGGAGGCAGTCGCCCTCCAACAACAACGGAGGGTGGATCGAGCGACGCTTACGATAACGAGTGGAGCACCGGGTGGCTGAAGCACAGCAAGTTGGCACAGTAGGGGGCACAGGTGGTGCATCAGCCAGTCAGCTCAGCCGTCTCAGTCAGTCGACCCGTGGCACCTGGGTCTGCCCCGTGACCTCCTGCCTGCGGGCGTCCGACACTTCACTAGGCCTCAAGGTGCAAATAGCCTGGCACAAGCGTCGTGGTGACGTCACCGCCACCAAGTGGCGAATAGCGGTTGTGTGTGTCTTTTTCGCTCGGGCAACGCTGGGTACTTCCCGTTAGTTATTAATAAATTCCTTCAAACTGAAGTCGACTTGGAAGATTACTTTTAGACCGATCAATGCGCAGTTGAAAGTTAAAATACATGAATATTAAACAGATATAGGGTGACTGTTGAGACTAGGATATGTGCATGAGAGTGGTACACACTCACGTGCATGAGTGTGGTAAACACTCATGCACAAATGTATGCACATTCATTAAAAAACATTCCTACTCAGTGCCAGACCATTTCAAATCCACTTGCATCCCCTTCCCCCGCATGTCCTCCGCATGCCCCCCAGCACCACTCCCCCACAACCCCCAACATCGCTTCCTTCCACAACACATTCATAAATACACTTCAACATCATCGTAATCACCACGCTCATCAGAATCTTGGAGCCGCATTCACCTCCGGCTCCGTGTGGAGCTCACAAAGAGTTCCCCGCTCATTGTATCAGAGCCGGTGCCGGCGATCGGAGCTGTGGAGGTGAAATGCTACAGGCTGGTGTGCGATTCGCTCATGGGGCAGCTCCGTCTGCTGCTGGGTCAGCATCGCCTCTCAGCTTAAATCTACAAACGCAGGTTTACTCTGTGAGTCCAGTTGCTCCTCAGCTCCTGCTTCACTTCCTCACTGAAGTCATTGCCATCCACCCTGCAGCACAGAGAGAGGTTCACGCTGACGCGGGTTCACACGGAGACTCGAGCAGCTCCTCACAGTTCGAGACCCACACAGCCCCCACAACAACCGCGCTGGATGAAGGTCACCCCATGCCATGAGAGCTGCTTTACAATACTTCACCACGCAGGTCATTGCAGGTCTGTGATGGCAGGGACTGCAGATCTAGGATAGTATAGTTCAAGGGAGGATTGTGCTGCACACTGGTCCGTTGCCCACAACTTAGCTCTGCTGCCTATAACCCCTGTGGTTATGTGCGTCATCCATCTAAGCACTATCTAGGCTAAAACCTGCTTATCTTGCAGATTTAAGATAAGGCGCATTCCCAGTCGTTTGGTCATGCTCCTTGGTCTGATAATGCTTATTACATGTACTGGAATACACTCCACGACTAATCCCAGTTCTGGCAATGGCTCGTGTTGATAGGACACAGCCGTGCTGTGGAGAAGGTCCATTGCTCAAAACATTGCCTTTTGCATATATTTGTTATGTTAAGGCTACAGAGTTTTGTCTGTAGCAACAATTAGAGTGTGTATGAGACACGAGCAGCATAACTTACCAGAGCTCCCTCAATGATTTGTTGGTGATCATAATGTCATGAAGAGATAGGATCGATTTGTCCATCAGTGAGCAGTACTGCAGACTACAGGAGAGAAGAGGCACTGAGTGAGGTGAAATTGGAAAATAAAGTGTACACTCACAAGAAATGGAGAGTAACTCAACAACCTTCAATACAATGACAATGGTGGAAATCTTATAGAATCAGTTAAACAAAGAGGGAGGGAGTGATCATTGCGGACACAGGAAAGCAACCCTATTTGTCTATTATTTGTGTAATGCGGCTTTGTCCAACACGACATTTCCAGTAACGTAACCCCCCGGCGAGGTCTGCCTGTATGAAATATTGTATTCAATATTGTTTGACCATAAAAGGCCAATGTAGATACAGGCAGAATGGCCAGAATCAAAATGTGAATATTTATTTATATTGGAGAATCAGAAAAGCTACTTGACTTTACCGAAAGAACCAAAGAGTATGGATTCCTGCAGTGACGAAATCTTCAAATCAAGATAGAATGTTTTCAATGTATAGGTTTGGCGTATAGGTCATTGGTGACTTTATGGCTGTAATAAGGGTCAGATTGTGGTCTTATGAAGGTAAACGCATGGGTGGGCAATTAATGTCAAGATTGCAGCCGTTCGTTATATAAACTAATTAATTTTAATTTACGACGTTAAATACACATGGCCATCGATTATATCCAGAGCGTCATTATCTGGCTTCCAACATCCGGTGAAACGGGAAAAACTGCTGGAAAGGCTTTACCAGTTTACCGACCGGCACCATGTGCGTGACAAAACAAGTAGCTATGCTTTATTTCAGTGCCAAATAATATATACGGTACAGTAAATACCGACACTTTTTACAGCAGGATATTTATTTTGTCATTGTATATTTATTTAAATATGTTCACACCGCAAACTACTTATAACACCAAATATACATACAGAACACCGATAAGCATCTTATTCAAGAATGTGCAAAAATAAGCTATTTTAAATAATGATGCGATTATCTGGGTTTTTTTTTTTATCCAGTACCCCGTTCCCTCCCTAACCACTGGATAATCTATGATCTACTGTATTAACATAATATTGTTTAAATCATGGGTTAAAGTAGGTAATGTGACAATTGTATTGTTATTTAATAGTGGTTAAAAGTGCTGTAATAAGTGTGGCTAATAACTTAATGATTGCATAAGAAATAAAGTTATAATAGACGTTAAAATACAACATTATCATGCTATACTGAGTATATTATATTCTTTGGTCTTTCAGTAAAGTCACGTAGATAGGTTAAAAAAAAATAACAAAAAATAACCAAAAGCTATGACGTTTCAATCGCAACACAAGCAGTCGTCTTCGGGGTTAGCTTCCAAGGCAAACTGTTTATAACGGTTTCAAATAGGTATAGCCCAAATGTCTGCAGCCAATGATAATGTAAGTGGTGGAGAGCCAACATACCGCAACCAAGTGGTCGGCGCGCGAAGTGGCTGTGCTTTTGTGAACCCTGTGAAAGCGCAAGTTTGAAATGGGCGTAAAGCACCACTAACATCGAAAGGTGCTACGATGGAAACATCATAGCCAATTATGACTTAAAACTGGTCGATAACGTTCTTCCTATGATTGCTCAGTTTGTACTCATCTTCTCGGTTGAAAATGTGTCTGTGTCTATATACATGGATGGCTTCATGAACGAACCTTTGTTGATAGCCAGTGGGCGGGCAAAGTACCTTCGTCTTGGAGAAATCAATTCCGTGTGAGCCCACCGCATTAAAACAATGATTAGCCACGGCCGAGGTATTGGTCCTACCGTGTTTCAGATCTGCCTAAAGTTCACGAACACAGTCCGAGACATGTCGCTTAGTTTCCCCAATGTAACTACTGCTGCAGACACAGCTTAGTTTGTAGACAACGGGGCATTGCATGTCAGGGATCACATCCTTCACAGTGACCCCTGCCAGTGACCCCTGCTATGTATTGCAAGGTGATGGTTTTGATTGGGTCCTCAGAAGGCTATTTTCCAACGGTTGGGGTGATAGCTTTACGGATTGTGTAGTCCAAATATCCATTTATCTTGAGAGCTTGGTGTACATGTTACAGTTCATGGGCTAGGTGTTGACGGTCGCAAATACACCGAGCTCTATGGTGTAGAGTTTTGATTAGGGAATTATTCTGGGATGGATGGTAGTGGGAGTCAGGTTTTTAGGTAGGCATCCGTATGGGTGGCTTTCCTGTAGAGAGTGTCCCATTGAGCCATCTGGTCTCTTTTCTATTAAAACATCCAAGAATGGTAACTTGCCATTCCTTTTCCACCTCCATGGTGAAATTGATGGCTGGTTGTATGGCATTGATGTGGTTGAGGAATTGATTCAGAGCTGGTCTGCGATGTGGCCAGGTGACGAACGTGTCATCTGCGTGCCTCTTCCACAAGGACAGACTAGAGTGGATGCCTGGATGGCATCTGTCTCTTATTTTTCCATGAAAACATTGGCTACAACTAGATATAAGAGAGAACCCATTGGGGTACCTTCAACTTGTTTGTAGAATGTTCCATTCCAGGTGAAATGTTGGTGAGGCAGTGTCACACCAAGGCCAGTACATCAGCATTCAGTCCTTGTTGGACCAAATCTTCAATGATTGCAATGGTGTCAAGCACAGGAACTTTGGTAAACAAGAGACCACGTCGAAACTAACGAGCAAATGACCTTGAAAAAGTGAGATGTCCTTAATTGACGATACCAATTGAGCTGAGTTGAGTACAGCTGAGGTGGTCTTACCAGTGAATTGTTGTAAGGTCTCAGACATAAATCGGGCCAGTTTGTAGGTGGGTGAGTCAATGGTGGAGGCGATAGGGCGAAGGGGTAATAAATTATTAAAAGCTTTCATGACTGCATAAAATTGCTCATTGTTTTTTTCGGTAAAGTCACGTATGTAGAAATACAATAAAATTATATTAAAACAAAACAATCATGACGTTTCGATCACAACACAAGCGATCTTTATCAGGTGATTGTTTTGTTTTAATATAATTTTATTGTATTTCTACATACGTGACTTTACCGAAAAAAACAATGAGTAATTTTATGCAGTCACGAAAGCTTTAATAATTTATTAACACACTTCTACGGGGACGTTACCGTTGCATTTCTGTCCTAAATGTACACCCCAAGCCTGTTCCCATCCGCCCCCCCCCGCTTCTGTGTATGTGCAAGATGTGCCTTTTTTGAGCTGCCACAAGATGTTTTTTGAGCTGCCGCTCTCTCTGCCGCCCCCCCCTCAACCTTATTTCCTATTTAAGCTTCTGTTCATCCCTCTCTCTCTCTCCTTGCCTCTCTGTCCATCTTTCCTACTGACCATGTACCTCGTATTTTCACTCTGTCTATGCTGGTTTGTGCAATCCAGAAGTTGAACACGAAATTTAACACTCTTCTGAAATTCGTGGTCTGCCAGGAAGTGTCTAACTGTGTTGTTGGCCTGACTGGTGGTGCTTCACATAATGTTTTTTTAGGTTTGTTAAATTCTTGTCTCTCATCCTTTTGTTGTATTTACCTCCATGATTTGTTCTTGACACCTGATGAAGATCGCTTGTGTTGTGATCGAAACGTCGTGTTGTTTTGTTTTAATATAATTTTATTGTATTTCTACATACGTGACTTTACCGAAAAAAAACAATGAGGACGAAGGGGTGTTCCTTCTTTATGGATTTTTGTTACGCCATACAATCTGGGTGGTCTAGCAGCAGAGGGTTTTAAGGAGAATCGCTTGGTTGGTTCGATCAAAGATGTCGAATCAGTGATAATATTGTTGGTTTTCGTAACGAGGCAGTTGGTGGGATCTCTTAAAATTTAGGTATAGCTACCATCATTAAGTAGGTCCTGAATTGTGTTCTTGAATGTGGTTTTGTCCATGATGATTGTGGCATTGCCCTTTTCGGCTGAGAGGATGACAAAATCATTTCTCTTTTTTAATTTAGAAAGTTCAAAACGCTCATCTTTACTGGTGTTGCTGATAGGTGTCTTAGCATTGTTGAGGATTGCAGTGATTTCCGATCTTGCCACGTTTGCATAAATGTGTCCCAAACCCTTAAGGGCTACGTCGACCTGGGCAATGATATCATCGTTTAGGGGTGACTGCGAAATTGAACCCTTTGGCTAGAACCGATTTTAGGTGTTTGTCGGAAATTGGACTGTTTCTCTGTTTGATAACCATCTTGTCAAAGTCTAACTTTTCGATGTGTGGATCTGGATTCTTGGAAAGGAGGATTAAATTGGAAATCAGGTTATCTTTGCATTTAGCTGACATTGAGGTGGCTGAAGAGGCTGTCATGTTATCTACATGGTCCCAATCAGATCTAGACATTTTTCCGTCAATGTTGTGTGATTTCAGGAGAGTCTTGTCTAAATTGTATAGTTCAAATCAGAGCAGTTATATTCTCTTCGATTGGTGGAAAACCAACCACTTTCAGGTTGGGCTGCCCACCACTTATATTATCATTGGCTGCTGACATTTGGGCTACACCTATTTCAAACCCCTTATAAACAGTTTGCCTTGTAAGCTAACCCCCTTTGCCTGAAGACGACCACTTGTGTTGCGATTGAAACGTCGTAGTTTTTTTGTTATTATTTGTAATTTTTTGTTATTTTCTTTTAACCTATTTACGTGACTTTACCGAAAGACCTAAGAATATTAATTCCTGCAGTCACGAAAGCTTTAAGTCAATATTTATACTGAGTATCTTTGTGTTTTGTGTCACATATGTGTATATATATTTGTTTGGGTGTACTTTTACAAGTGTGTGTGCATTGGGCCATGACTCACTCTAACGTCTCCAAACTCCCTGCTATTCCGAACATCTCGTCCGCCAAACATTTGAGTCCGCTGGCTCTGATCTTGTTGTCACTCAGCCTGAACCAAGGTGGACGGGAGAAGGGACAGCCGTGACTCACTGAGCCCACGAGAACCGCAGAGTCAAAAACGCGGTGAGTTAGGGACAGTCACAATGGCGGTGCACTTAACCGGAGTACACACTCATTGTTTTTTTTGGTAAAGTCACGTATGTAGAAATACAATAAAATTATATTAAAACAAAACAATCACGACGTTTCGATCATAACACAAGCGATCTTCATCAGGTGTCAAGAACAAATCATCGAGGCAACTACAACAAAAAGATGAGAGACGAGAATTCCACAAATCTGAAAAAACATTATGTGAAGCACAGCCAGTCAGGACAACAACACAGTTAGACACTTCCTGGCGGACCAGGAAGTGTCTAACTGTGTTGTTGGCCTGACTGGCTGTGCTTCACATAATGTTTTTTCAGGTTTGTGGAATTATTGTCTCTCATCTTTTTGTTGTATTTACTTCCATGATTTGTTCTTGACACCTGATGGAGATCGCTTGTGTTGTGATCGAAACGTCGTGATTGTTTCGTTTTAATATAATTTGATTGTATTTCTACATACGTGACTTTACCAAAATAACCAATGAGTAATTTTATGCAGTCACGAAAGCTTTAATACAGAGTACACACGTTCATGAGCAAAGCTGCTCATTGTTTAATGCTTCTGTGTTAGACATTTGATATATAATAGGTGACATTCACAAACATAACTTTACTCACAATTATCCGTTCAATTATACTGCACTGTACCTTTATAATATGAAAAGTGTTTGCGTTTATATGAACACAAAGTTGCAACAGAGGATTACACACGAGTGAAGTACATTTTAACTGATGAACACAGGAAGATGTTGACAATTAATATATCTGCTAACAATATGTTCTGAATATGAATATCAATTCTTATTAAGTTTGGTGCATTCTGCGTGATTTTCTTGTCGACAAAGATATTGCTCAGCATTGCCAATTGTTTATTGCTGTGGTTGTCCCACCTGATGGCAGGCACTTGTGTTGCGCCCGAAACGTCGTGATTAAATTTATTTTATTTTATACCTACGTGACTTTACCGATACTGCCATGTTGAGACAGCAAAATTGCTGGGTTGACATTTAAATGTTTACTTCACAACGCGTTGCACCAATGATTAGCACAGTTCGTGCAGAGAGCACATGTGAAAAACGAACAGCAGAGCTTACCTGAGAATCTTCAAACCTGTGTTGGCCTTGAGGATAACACTGAGATAGGAACCCGACTTGTCCGTCAGTGAACAATGATACAGGCTGCAGGAAGAGAAGAGACGTCGTGATTTTTTGTTATTTTATTTTCACCTACGTGACTTTACCCAATAGAACCAAAGAGTAGAGAAGAGACTGTTAGTGGGGGCAGAGGGGATGGGTGGAGGATCTGGGCAGAGAGTGGGGGATGGTGAGGGGTGGTGAAAGGTGGTGGTTGCTGATGGGACAGTGGTTGAGGGTCGTGTTTGTGGAGACTGCACAAATGTCATGTCAACTTTCATAGGAGCTTGCAAAAAGCAACTGCTGTTTAGGTTTTTGGGTTTAATGTGATGTATGTGTGAATGTCTACTATGTGTGCATTTGCATTTGTCCATCTCTATGCGTGTTTGTACATGTGTGTCTTAGTGTATGCATATGTGTGCATGCGCGTGGAAAGTAGAGGTGCAGTGGTTAGCACACTGCGCCACGAACCTGGTTCGGTTGCCACTCATGGCTAACCTCATTGATGAATATCTAAAACGACAGTGGACCTCACCTAGGTCGACTCAGCCTTAAACTAGTACCTGGTGTAGTAAGTAAACATCAGTTGGCTGAGTTTGGTGCTGGCCTCCTTATCACCATGTGCCGTTCTGGCCTTCATTAGGTGTTCCCTAACAGTATATGACCGAAAAGTCTGCTAAAGGCTCTGTAGAATCTCTGTGTGTGTTTATATATTGATCAAATAATCATGATTTATTTTCGATATTGCATCATCCTACAAGCAGTCACAACTGAAAGCATTTCATTTAACATCTCATCACAATGTAATTGAAAGGAAACCTTCAGTCACAACTATCTGGAGCACAAGGTAACTTAGCACCTGGCCTGCATATCGGCACTTCCACTTAAACTCTTCCCATATCCTCTCATTCCTAAATTTCTCATAACCTCCTCCAATTTCCTCATTAACGTCTCTCAATTTTATTATCGTGTACATTATTAACATTTAAATACCTCCCGTGGGCACTCTTTTCTAAATACCTGCAGATCAGTGACACTATTACTAAAGCTTCAAACAAAGACTGCAAGCTTAGTGCCGACACTGTTATAGATTGGCTGAGGGGTTAAAAAGGACAATATAGATTGGCGGAGGCAAATCATGTAATCAACAGAGATGGTGACAGATGAAACATAAAACTAGAAAGTTATGGGAAAAGCTGCTGGGACTGCACATTCCTCACCAGAAATGGTCTTTTCTGCTGAAAGTTATTCAGTTCAAGTTCATGAATGGGACCTACCTGACCAACGACAGGAGAGCCAAATTTAACAACTCCTCGGATTTCCCTAGATGCACGCAAGGCAGAGTACAGACATACCTACAAGTCTTCTGACCGTACCCAGATATCTCGAAATGTTATCAGGACATAACGGACTATTTTAAATGGATCTGTGGCACAGAATTGAGCCGCTAAGTGGACAAAACTTTGTGGGGCCTGAAGCTAAGGGGGGTGTCAAAGCACCAATACACGCTACTCAAAACCTTTTAAATTGTAGCAAAGAAAAAAATATTCTGGCAAATTGGACAAATTCCTGGCGTTGTGCAGTAAGACCACGTGGAGACGGGATTTACTATAAGGTATGGTTTACAACATGGAGTATAACAGCGCCTCGCAGCTGTGTCTCTCCCCCTCCTCTGTTCCGACCATGGATGAACTCGTCTGTCTGAACGGGACCCGTAGCTATCCGTGTTGCTAAAGTTGAGGGTAAGAATCCACCCATTTTTCGCCATATAGCATTGTGATATATAACGACTTATTGTTGGTAGCTTAGCTGATTGGAGAATATAGAGTTTATTGATAACATTGGGGTAATTTATATTTTAGTATTTTTTATTGGTTCACTATATAGTATTCATTATATATTGTATTGTATACCCAGTTACTGTGAATAGCTCAGATGTGTAGGCCTTAACTTCAACATAGCCATTTCTGTGACCAGTCACAAGCTAATCACTCAGTTATTTCAATGCTAAATTCGCCTAGTTATTTCAATGCTAAATTCTCCTGTTTGATTTGTACTAGGTGCCTCGGTGAATGTATATGCTCTGACTTTAACATAGCTATTTCTGTTACCAGTTACAAGCTAATCACTCAGCTATTTCAATGCTAAATTCTATGCTAATTCCTTTGTCAAGGGGTGCCTTTGCGGATGTGTATGCTTTAACTTTAACATAGCCTTTTCTGTGACCAGTCACAAGCTAATCACTCAGCCATTTCAATGCTAAATTATATGCTAATTCCTTTGTCAAGGCGCTTTGTTTCTTCTCACACAGCTTAAAGGTCGTGATCTCAGCGTGGCTTTCTCACTCCAGTGCTGTCCTCCAGACAGTCTCGTCCCCTTCACCTGATGAAGGCCGCTTGTGTTGTGGCCGAAACGTCGTGAGAATATTATTGTGTTGTTTTATTTATTTATTATTTTATTCTCATTCTACGTGACTTTACCGAAAGAACCAAACAAAAAAGAAGGCTGTTGCTGTTTATTAAACACTGTTAAACTCAACATTCAAACTCACACCAGAGGTAGGCGTTCTCTATCTGAGTCCTTACCCCGGACTCTCAACAGTGCCTGGTCCTGCCTTCAGCTATCCCTTAGGGCTCTCTCACTCATTTGCCCGGAACGGGGGCTCATCCAACACCGTCTGGCGATGAGTAGAGAGAAACCCTCTCTCAGCCGATCCCTACTGAATGCTCTGAACCCTACTTTCGGCTATCCCTTAGTTCTCTTCTTCCAGCCGATCCTTTCCCTGGCTCCCCACAACGACCCCACTTTCATCATTACACCTCCTTTGCCAGTACCAAAATGTAATAATAGGGCTTTTCCCATTTTTTCTGGCAACAAAACTGAAACCTTTTTTTACAAGGATTCATGTCTGCATTAACCACAATACCTGCAGTCAAAATGCAAACACAAAACATACTATGATAATATATGCATTGTCCTTGGTGTGGACCAATCAGTTTCAAGGACAATGCATATATTATCATAGTATGTTTTTTGTTTGCATTTTGACTGCAGGTATTGTGGTTAATGCAAACATGAATCCTCGTAAAAAAAGGTTTCAGTTTTGTTGCCAGAAAAAAAAGGGGGAAACCCCTATTATTAGACCCCACTTTCGTCATGGGGTCCCCCTTAAGTACCCCCTACAGCCCTGTGACACGACGTCATCCTCGTCTATCAACTCGCTCGCACCTCCCTCTGTTCGCCCCTTCATGGTTGCTCAAAATACTCCTCTACACTGGGACACTGACAGATTCTCTACTTGCTGTGGTGGAATCGAGCTCTTAAACTATGAACTTAAAGGAAGGTAGTTGGAATATAACGCTACGTGGTCCCCAAATTGGCTGAAACCTGCAAGAATTGTGGGATAAATGGGGGTCGGGGATAGGGAATGGCCTCTTGACACTGCACCATTTCTGCAAACACATGATGTCTGTTGCTCCGAGGGGAACAAGATTGATAAAATCGGACATCGCGTTTATATTATTTTATTTTGCATATTGTTTAGTCACATTACCCCCCCCTCCCCTTTTACCCTTAACTTCCCCTCCTATGAAAATATGCTACTCTAAATCATTGCCCGATAGTGGTAAGGCAGTGAACCCAAGTGCTTGCAGTCGGCCCCCTCCCCATTTTAAGGGCGTATTGTGCCAGGCTGTTTCACGTTTTTGACCTAAGTTTCTGTCTCGAATGTTCATGTTGTGGTTTTGTTGGATTATTGAGCAATACAAAAAAAGAAAAAATCTAACCTCTTATTTGTGCAATATTCTTTAAAGGTCCAGTAATCGTTCTCTGCAATATTGATGTTTTTGTCGTTGTTTTGTTGTTCTTGTGCTCATGCAACCATGAATCTCTCAGCCTGGAAACTGGCTAAACTGGATCGTCCATGTAGCAAATAAAAAAATACAGCAAACCCTTCCCTCTGACGGGTTAAGTTATTGCAGTTTTGCATTAAATGTATTCTGTGGCTCGACCATTCATTGTTTAATGCGAGATTCCTGTATTCATTGCATGTATGTATGTTGAACTTCTTTCACAACGTACGTACAGTACCATACAAGGATGCATGTAGTATATTGGTGGGGTGGGGGGGGATGGGCCAAGTGGGATCATGGACAAGGAAGAGCCCGAGGTCGGTGTGGTCACCCTGGGCGGCCGCTAGACTCCTCTTATTTCCTCACTAAATTCTTCCACTTCCTTTGTAATATATCCCAGTTATATATGAACTCCCATTTCATCTAGTTCTGATTCCCCTGCTACCTCCTCTGATTTCCTCACTAACGTCTCCCACTTTTCACACACATCAAAAATTTACCCCCAACTCACAATTCCCATGTCTCAAATGTGATTTCCCTTTCTTCACAAACTCCCCACTTCCTCAAATTCCAACCAGCTCTTCACGTATCCTCAAACCAATCCCAATTATTATACAACATTTTCCCATATCCTGTTACTCCTATTTTCTCTTTCATTCCTTCCTTTCTAGCTTCTCTAATTCCCTATACGTTTTATTTTTACTCCTTCCATTTCTTCTCTATCTCCTCCCACCTATTTGACCCCTCATACGTGTAATATAACGCTATCATTTCACTCCTACAATTCTAACACCTCAAATCCTGTAAATTCACCCAATGCCTCACAAACTTCTCACATATATCAATGCCTCCTCGCACTTCCTCTCGAATTGATCGCATGTTCTCCATCTCTTCAGACTTCCTCTCTAGCTCCAACCATTTTCTAACTGCTCCTATTTCCTAACGCCATTCCCCTTTTAACTAATTTGACCCACATACTCACGAAGCTCTCACATTTTCCGTGCTATTTCCTCTAATTTTCTACAACTCCAATTTTATTTGTAGCCCTTCCTAATTCCTCAATACCTCACGATTCTACTCATACTCCTACTGAGTTGACTCAAGCTTCAATTTCCATCGACACCACTCATTCCTTTCTAAATCCTCTCATGGCCTCTCCAATTCCTAAAATGTCTTCTATAACTCTCCAATATCCTCCATTCCTCCCATTCCTTCTAACTCCTACCGTTTCCTCTATAAGCCATCGCATGTTCGCTATAGCTTGTCCCATTTCCTGTCTAACTCCTCCCCTTCCCTACATCTTCTTCCACATCTTTACAAACCCAACCCATGTTCTCCCTACCTCCCAATAAATATATTTACCTCCTACCATTGTCTCAATAATTATTCCCACTTCCTCAAACATTCATATTTCCTCTCTATCTCCACTTTCCTATTCAACTCCTCCACTTTCCTCACAAATGTCTCCAATTTCTGATATGTCCTCCCATGTATTACACTTTCCCCATTTGCTCCCCAACTCCACGCATTTCTTCTTTAGCTTCTCCCAATCCTTCTGCTACCATCAACTCAGATAAGGAGGTGGAGGCACTGCTGCTTTATCTGGAGTGTGGTACTAAGATGTAGGGCATTACCATCAGGCCTTCCAAAGCTAAGTACCTTCTTGGGTATTTTGTGCATCAAACACTCCACTACCTCAACTCCCCATTTGTGGTGGCACAGTTGTGTAGAAAGTAAAGAGCTTTCCCTACCTGGGCAGTGCATTTAGAACCACCTCTGGTTTGAAATTAGAGGTCTCACTTAGAATCAGTCAGGAAGCAGTATATTTTCATCGCCTGCATAATGCTGTGTGGAAGCTGCCTGGTCTGTCGCTACACTTGAAACTTCACATCTTCCTCAGCAACAGTTATGCCCTCCCTTCTCTATGCTTATGATACGTGGCCCCCTCTGATGTAACATCTGCAACAGTTTTAATATTCATGCTGGCCTGTACAATCTATCCTGGGTTTAACCAGGCTGGATTGTGTGAGGAGCTCACAAATCTTCGAAAGATTTGGACATTCCACTCGGTGATCTCCTCCAAAAGGCAAGGCTGCTTTGGGTGGGTCATTTGTCCTGCATGCTCAGCCACCGCATGTCCAAGCAGCTTTTATTTGGCTGGATAGACGGGGCTAAATCGACACCACACTGGCTGGAGACAAGATGGACTGATGCGGTATGGGAGGATGTGGAGCCAAGTGGATTTGCCATAGACCGGTACCTGTGGTGTTGAGATTGGCCTCTATGAAAGAGGCTCGTGAAGGACGCTACTAGTCAGTTGGAGGCAGTCACCCTCACCCAACAACGGAGGGCACAGCAGTGACGCTCACAAAATCTAGTGTAGCGTCGAGCGGCTAAAATGCAGAAAGTTGGCACAGGTGGGGGCACAGTTGGTGCATCTGCTAGCCATCTCAGTCAGTCAACCCATGGCACCTTATTCTGTCCATGCCCTGCTGCCATTGAGCCTTCGACACTTCACGTGTCCTCAAATTGCACCTGGCACAGGAGCTGTGGAGACGTCACTGCCACTTAATGGTGAATGGCAAGTGTTGTTGTTGTTGGTGGTGGCGTGTTGCCACAGTGGTTAGCGCCCTGCTCTATCAACCCAACCCAAAACAGATTCCAACTCCTGACGAACATCAGTGATAAATACATAGGAGTCTCTGCCCACCTCTGAATCCACTCATTACCCATCACGTAGCTGTGGCTGATTTAAACTGTATATTGGGTACAGTTAAAATGATGTTAACATTAATAGGGGTGGTGTTTAAAAGTCACATGGGGTACATTGGTGAGTTTATGGCATTAATAAGGGTCAGGTTGTGGTGTAGTAATGAAAAGGTCAAGATGTCTGCCGATAGTTTTTCTAATCTCTTAATTTCCACTTATGGAGTGAAATAATCTATAGGGTAGAGTAGGTTATTTGTGAGAATCTGATTGGGAATTTGTAATTGTAATGTAAATTAATAGTGGTTTAAAGTGCTGCAACAAGTGAGGCTAGTTAATTAATGTGCATAAAAACAAGTGAAATATGAAATATTTTATCAATACTGAGTATCGTTGTGTTTTGTGTCTGTATTTGTGTGTTGATATTTGCTTAGGTGTTTATATAAGTGTGTGTACATCAGGACATCACTCACTGTAGCGCCTCCAAACTCCCTTCTCTCCCAAACATCCCATCAGCCAAAAGTCGGAGGCCGCTGTCTCCGATGCCGTTGTTACTGAGCCTAAACCCAGGTGGACGGGAGAAGAACCAGCGCTGACTCACTGAGCCCACATGAACCACAGGGTCAATCACGTGGTGAATTATGGACACTCACAATGCGGATGGACATGACCAGAGCACACGTTCATGAGCAAAGCTGGTCATTGTTTAATGCTGTGTCATACATTTGATATATACGTGGTATTCACTAATATCAGTTTACTCACAATAATCCATTCAATTATACTGCACTGTACCTGTATAATTTGAAACGTGATTGCGTTTATGAGAACACAAAGTTGCAGCAGAGGATCACACAATTTTTCATCGAGGAACACAGGGAGATTGTATTTACTAATATCACTATACATACAATCATCCATTCAATTTTAGTGCACAGTACCTTTATCATCTGAAAGTGTTCGAGTTTTCAACACACAAATGTCTAAAAGCACTTGGCCGTTGTGCAAATACAATTAGCATTTCCTGAAGAAGTGCATTGTGGTCCTCTTGTCACTAGCAACATATATTGGAGTAAATTAACTGACTAACAAAAGCAGTGGTGCAGTTTAATAATGTACAACTGTGTAATAGATTCATCCTTATTAAAGTTCGTGGATACACGTTGTTGGGATCGAGTGTGGGGGGGTCACACTTCCAGTGGGTCACGGGACAGACCCAGGTGCCTGGGTCTACTGACTGAGATGCCTATACAGGTCACCATACTTCAATAGGGATTACCATTGGTACAGCTATATTAGTACACACAATAGACAGGAAGTACAAGAACAATATGATCGCATAATGTGCATGCATAATGTACATTTATTACCATATAAACATCCAAAACGGCATTGGGTACCAATAATAATTTATATAAATTATATAATCCCCCCACTTAGCGCAAGAAGAGCTCACAAGTGTTGCCATCACATCTACCCCTCTATTTAATAAAGGTTTTTGGGTTAGATCGCGTTATATATGTGTCGTAACCCTTCACACCCGACACGGCCAATCACGTTGACAAAAGACAAATAAATTTTGATTTAAAGCTTTCGTGACTGCATTAATTCATATTCTTAGCTCATTCGGTAAAGTCACGTTGAAGGGAAACAATAAAATAATAAAATATATATAAAACAATAAAAATTATCACGACACCTGATGACGACCGTTTGTGTTATGGTCGAAACGTCGTGAGAAATTTTATTGTTTTATATATATTTTATTATTTTATTGTTTCCCTTCAACGTGACTTTACCGAAAGAGCTAAGAATATGAAAAGACAAATAGTTCACTACTTTAGCCCACCGGTGTGTTGAAGAGTGAATCCACAACATTTACAGTTTGAGTTAGACGTTTCGCTGGTGATTACATCCAGTATCATCGGGAAATTCGCCAGAATGGTAAAGCCCTCACTTGCTCCCGGTCTTAAATATAGCAGCAGGGTGACGTCAGATTGTAAATGTTGTGGCTTGACTTTCCAACACACCGTTGTACTCTACTTGTAACGAATTGGCATGTTCTGTTTATGTAACAAACCTTAGTAATTGGATGTGTCGGGTGAGTTTAATGACACATTGAAGTGATATAACCTAAACAAAACTGTATTATGGATGATACTCGTTTGTTATTTCGGTAAAGTCACGTAGATATTAATAAAATAAAACAATTCATGACGTTTTGATTGCAACAAGCAATCCTCATCAGGTGGAACAACCACAGCAAGAAAACTTCTGAAGTAGGCGAGAGAGCTGCCATGGCAAGAGGTTATATAGGTAAGAAAGGGGGGAGGGGCAAGGGGGGAGAAAGAGGGTGGGGGAGGTGTGGGGCAGAGGAAGGGGGGCTGCGTGAGAGCTAGGGGGAGAAGAAGTGAGGCTGGAGGGGGGGGGAATGGGTGGGGCAAGAAGTGGGAAGCTGAGTGTGGGACACGGGGGAAAGTAACTCGGGAAAAAAACTGCTAGTAAATGGCAGGTATGATGGAAACAACTAAAACCGGTTAAAGCTTTACCAGGTAAAATAACATAATTTCAAAGATTGCTCAATTTGTATCCATCTTCTCGATTGAAGTTATGTCTAAGTTTAAACATCTGGATGGTTTCATGAACAAACTTTTGATAGTAGCTCGAAGGTTTGCAGATTACCTTGGTCTCAGAAAAAAAACAATATCATGCGAGCACACAGCGTTATACAATGGACAGCTACGGCAGAGGTACTGGTTTTGCCGTGTTTCAGATCTGCCTTGTGTTCGCGAACCCGGTCCAAGACATGTCGTCTCGTTCCCCCAATGTAACTGTTACCGCAGGTACAACTCAGCTTGTAGACTCCAGGGTATTGCATATCAGGAATGATCTCCATCACAGATGGGATTAGATCACTGATTTTGTGTACTGTATTGGATCGGACCTGGATCTTGTGTTTGTTTAAGATTTTGGATACTTTTTGGTAACACCTGCTATGTATGGTAAAGTGATGGTTTTGATTGGATTCTCAGGAGATTGTTTATTCATAGTTGGAGAAACAGCTTTGCAAATAATGCGGTCCGAGTACCCATTCATCTTGAGGGCTTGGTGTACGTGTTCCAGTTCACTGGCTAGGTGGTTCTAGATTTGAAGCTTTCGTGACTGCAAGGATTCATACTCTTTGTTTTTTTCGGTAAATTCACGTAGGCAAAATACAAATAAAAGAAAACAATTAAATTAAATCACGACCTTTTGGAGGCAACACAAGCTTCCGTCTTCAGGTGGAACAGTCACAGCAAGATAGCTGCATCAAGTGGGGAGCTCTGAGACCCTCGAGCTTATATACAGGTTAAGGGGGGGGGGGGGAGGAGCCAAGCAGGGGACGACGATGGAGTTGGGGGGCTAAGTTAATCCGTCTTTTGTTGTGTTGAGGGTTCAGGGGATGCGGTGGTTCACTGCACGGGGGCAGTGGAAAAAAGGCTGTGCGCTTATAAGGTAGCTAAAGTTTTGACTTGGTTTATGACATCTTTCTAGTGGTTTCCTCCGAAACATCGTGATTTAATGTAGTTTTTTTACTAAAATAACCAAAGAGTATTAATCCTTGCAGTCACGAAAGCTTCAAATCTAGAATTAATGACCTCTACGGGGAGGATTTCCACCTATCTGTTAGAGCGTTTAACAGACAACGAGATAAGAAGTCACAGCTCATCGAGACGCTAACCTTCCTCAAAAGAAGCCGCGATAACAAGGTAATACCCATCGCTTTCACACTCACATCTGCTGCTGTATCTGCACCGAACTCTAAACGGATTTTGTTTAATGCTAGCCTATCACTAATCTCAGAGAGGATAAGAGTATTCCGATTTGAACTCGATAGTTTAGACAGGACTCTCCTACAATCTCATTTAATGTTAACAAAAAAAATGCCCCCTTCTGATTGGAACCACGTTGACAACATGACTGCTGCCTCTGCTGATTAACTGTCAGTCAAATGCAAAGCTAACCTGATCGCTAAATTCAACCTCCTATCAAAGAAGAACCCAGTACCACACATCACAAAACTGGACGTTAACAAAATCGTTATTAATCAGTAACATCCCGATTTCGGAAAATCTGAAAACAGTACTGACTAAAGGACTAAATTTCGCTGTCACCCCTAAACATATACCAGAAGAGGATATCATCTCTCAGGTCGATGTAGCCCTCAAAGGCATAGGACACATCCAAGCAGACGTTGCGAGAGCTGAAATAGCCACTATGCTTAAGAATGCTAAGAAACCCATGAGCAACATCAGCAAAAATGAATGCTCTGAACTCGCGAATTAAAAAAGAGGGATGATATAGTCATCCTCTCGGCCGACAAAGGCAATGTCACTGTCATTATGGATAAAAACTCATGCAACAACAAAATCCAGGACCTCAATGATGGGAGTTACTCAAAAATTAAAAGTGATCCTACTAACAGCCTAACGATAAAAAACCAACAAGATCATCGCTAGATCGACTTCCCTAATCGAACCAACCAAACGTCTCTCCCTAAAACCCTCTGCTGCAAGACCTCCCAGATTCTATGGTCTTCCCAAGATCCATAAAGAAGGTACCCCACTGCGACCCATCGTGTCCACGATCAACTCCCCTACCGACAAGCCAGCCCGTTTTCTGTCGGATACTCTGCTTCCCTTCACTGGCAATACCACCTCAGCAGTACTTAACTCAACCCAATTGGTTTCTATGGTCAAAGACATTGTACTATCTCCTGACGATATCCTCGTCAGCTTTTATGTGGTCTCTCTGTTCACTAAGGTCCCAGTACCTGATACCATAATAATTGAAGATTTGGTCCAACATGGACTGAACCCTGATGTACCTGCACTGGTTAGGCACTGCCTCACCAACACTTACTTTACCTGGAATGGCACCTTCTACAAACAAAATGAGGGTACCCCTATGGGTTCCCTCTTGTCACCAGTGATAGCCAATGTTTTCATGGAGAAATTTGAATCGGACGCCATCCAGACATCCACCCTTCGTCCTTCCCCGTGGAAGAGATATGTGGATGACACTTTCGTCATTTGGCCACATGGCCTCCCAGCTTTGAACCATTTCCTAGACCACATCAATTCCAGACACCCATCCATCAAATTCACCATGGAAGTGGAGAAAGATGGCAAGCTGCCATTCTTGCATGTTCTGTTTGAGAGAAGGACTGATGGCGCTTTGGAACATTCTGTTTACAGGAAGTCCACCCACACAGATTCCTACTTGAAGCCTTATTCCCACCACCAACCGGCTCAAAATAATTCTCTCATCAAAACATTATACCATAGAGCTCATTGCATTTCTGACCAACACCACCTGACCAGTGACTTACATCTAGCCCTAAAAGATGAACGGTTACTCTGACCGTATCATCCGCCAAGCTGTTTCTCCCACCATAGAGAAACAACCACTTGACACTCTGATCAAAATCATCACACTGCCATACATAGCAGGCGTTACTAAAAAAAATTCCAAAATTCTAAACAATCACAAGATCCAGGTTCGGTTCAATACAGTACACAAAATCCGTGATCTAATCCCATCCGTAAAGGATGTCATTCCTGACGTTCAGTACCCCGGTGTTTACAAATTGAGTTGTATTTGTGGTGACTGCTATATCGGGGTGTTGTATATGTCGGTTGTTGAAATTTGATGAAAATAATACAAATATAAAGAAATTGGTATTTAGTATAATTATGCTAATTTGTGTAATTATGCGTATAAATTATGCTAATTCGAGGGATAATCATTAATTTATATGTGGGTGTGGTTATGTTAATGACAGTCTTTATGATAATCAGGCCCCGCCTCGTTGACGAGGTGGGGTTATCAATCGGAATAATGCAATTAATCGTATGCAGTTATGCTAGTGTCAACTCAGCTTCATTGTCTAACTTCGTATTATCGATCAGTATAATACAATTATTCTCGCTTTGCCATTTATTGAGTATGTATTAGTGTTTATGTAAGGTCACCAAGTTCATATCTCATCGCAGAACCAGTTCTTATTCATAGATTATAGGAAAGAATCACACCACAACTTCTGCATTAATCAATTCATTTCCTAATTAAACCTTAACTCTAATATAGTATGTGAACTCTCAATCTCGGAACTTCAACACTATATCAATACAGTATCATCAACGACTGTGTGATTTCACTTTGACAACGGCACATGGATTCCTTTCCCTGCATGACACGAGCCGTTGGTGAGAGAGAGAGAGTTAAAACATGTATATGCTTTTCTAAACAAAAACCTTCACTTATAATATGCAAGTTCATATATTTGAAAATATATTGCCCACACCGTCCTGCATTCATTTATAGATCCATAAGCAATTCTTCCAGGAAACTCTTATCCATTGTTTCCCTTTTGTTATCAGAGCAATTAATTCTTATGCAGCTTAAATATGAATACAGTCCTTAATATTATGCGACGGTATTCATACGAAAAGTAATTAAACGAAAATTATTATTTCTAAAGGCACAAATATGCGT